AGAATATGCTAAACAGATTATCTAACTGGGAATCCAACATGGAAGTCATTATAGGTTCCATGCAGTAGGATGTTCCTCCCCATGTAAGTCCAAATCCTACTGATCAACCACAGGAAACATCAACGTCTCAACCAATAAAAAGTGTTGAAATGTGGATAAGAGAAAGGGAAAAGAAGAGGAAATACACACAGTCTTCATCATCCACAGGCCGTCCCTTAGAAGACTACGACATAAAAAAATACCAAAATATTAGAAATTGGATATTGAGAAATCAATATGGGTAACAAATTTAACTCATTCTTAATAGTCTGAATGCTAAACATTATTATATCAATGTCAAAAATTCTCCGTTGATTTATTCGACAGTAATTTAAATTATTTTATACAGTACATATTTGAACGATGGCAGTGGCAATGTCTATGGAAGAGACATGCTGAGAACTTTAATGGATCCAAGAAGGATCTAAATATTACGGTGAGTGAAGGTTAACAATCTCAATCAATTTAATATGTCTAATATATGTTACATGTATTTATTTCATTAGCATATTGAGCTGGAACTGAAGTTATTGAGGCGGCGTAGGAATGAAGGTTGTACTCTCATCAATAAACAATATGCAATTTTGGATTTTCAATTTGAAGAGGAGTGTTCTCATCAAATGAAGTGGCAATTGGACTTTCGAATGGGAAACCAGAGAGGTCAACCGGATGGAACTCGCCTACAAGACTACGTCAAAGGTAGATTGCCTATAGCTAGTCATTCGTGGATGAGATGCAAGTATTTATTAATTCCAAGCTTATGAGCTTGGAATTAATAAATACTTGCATCTCATTCGAGGCAATGAATGTTATCTTTTTCTGGTTAATATTCCTGAATGAAAATTCCACATATACGATTGCAGCAATAATGTTCACACACAGATGTAATCAAGGCATACGTAGAAGCAACATGCACTATGGTTCAAGGATTATTGCAGCGTTCACCCCTTTTTACCAAATGAAATATAAATAATCATAGAAATGAACGAATGAAGCTGGAGATTATACCTTATCTACCATGTACAAATAATGGGTGAGCATTTCAACTCTTGTTATTTACTACTGTAGTTAATTTATCGTATATACTAATTTCAACTAACGTAAAATCATTTCTTGTACAGGCCAAATTGCGTAATCTTTGTACTCAAATATATAGAATGCTTCGTTCTAGGGCATCCAATAGAATCAATTTCAGCAGACGGGATGTCACTATACAGGTGAAAGATTGCAGTAGATCTTTGTCATAAAGAATACTCTCTTCATCCCCCATAGTGAAAAAGTCATAGTAGCTAGATGTACTTTGATTATGTGACCGTTGATTATATTTCACCATCAGTGTTCATGAACAGTTGTTCATTGCTATATATATGTGTTTTTTATGCTCGTATTGTCATTCTAGAAAAATATAATGTCAAGTGTTAAGATATGAAGGTATGTAATGTCGAGAACTACACGACAAACGTCAAGAAATGTATGAAATGTCGAGAAATGTCTCATTTCCTTTTTCGGTACAAATGTTAACGCGATATCTAATGTAAGTTCAAGTGTCGAATGATTGGATTACGAATGTCGATAACAACTATTGAAGTGTTGGAACGACATGAAATGTCATAAATTGCATCGATTTGTACTTTTTGTTCAAAATTTTCCTACTTTTGGGACTACACATTTCTCAATAAATACTATTCTAAGTATTAACAATGGAACGAAAATGGGCGAAATGAAGGCTAAGATTGATGGATAAGACAAGCAGGAGATATTATGGGAACATAGCATGTTAATCAAATGTACATACACGTAGGTGGAATTGGTGTGAGGACTTTTAATGCAGTAATGCACACCTCGGCGTTCACTATAAAATAATAGAATTGGTTTCAATATGCAAGCATGTTTCTTAGAACAAAATATTAACGTGAACAAGTTCTTCCGGTGAATCTGTCCTCATCAACTGAACGGACTCCACATATTGATGTTGTCAGGAATGTATCCGTACCCGGCTCTTCAATGCCCAACCCCATCATTATCGACTTAGAAGACGACAAAAAAATCAATGTCGTTGCTTCATATATTCCTCAAGCAACGAACCGCCATCGTAGGGTTTGCCTTCACCCCATTCCATTTTCTAATCTAATCTATGAAATTGCGTCGCTGCATGTTGGAGATGGTAATCATAATGTCGATCGTAAGAACATACCAATGGAGGTCCCATAGGAAGCAGACCAAGCTTTGGTGGACGACAAATTTTGGACGCTTTCGATCAGCAATGATGACATGATAGTGATAAGCTCGGAATACGACAATGACAATGACAGTGTTATGTCCTCTTTATCCATTGTGGAGGACATGTAGAAGGTTTAATCGTATATCTATAATGTCTAAACATATCCAATGACATATTTATAGGTATATGGATAATGGATAATTTTTGTGGTGACGACCAATTTGTATGTGCAGTGACCTCGAACATACACATAGTGGTTTCCTACTTTTGTTGTGACGACTATTTAGTATGGCCAGTGAATAAGAAAACGAGTCATGCATGACTTTCTTTTGTATCCATTACTAAGTTGTGTATATAATAACGAAGAAAATTGCGGTACTGAAACAGTTATTAACTTTTGTCTTCATGAAATTACGTGGTAATAAAATCGAAGCCTACCGATAACATTCAGAAACGAAATGATAGAAAGCATGTAATGCTCATAAATCTATTCAACACGTAGATAATATATGTTAGCGAATCATTTCATACACGAAATGGAACCTACCAATTACATTTGGAAAGAAAATGATAGAAAAGATAAAATGTACAAAAATCTATTGAACACATGGATAGTCTATGTGAGCAAATGATTTCATACACAAAATACACAAGTAATTCAAGTGTACGTGTTACTTCTTTGAGTTCCTACATGTTTGCCTGTTGTATTCGGAACCACCACATTGGCCACATTTTCGGGTGCTGGTAAACCGTTTAGTTCTTGACCTTCTACATTGGATAGGAGGGCAACCTGGTGCTCTACGTATATTTGGAGGTAAAATGTTGATGGAACTAATAGTATTGGGAACAATCCAATCTAACTCCGTTCCAACGGGGTAAAGAAGTTCGGTATATGAAGCTTGCCAACACTCGGTAGTGTAGTAATGGGAGCACAAGTCATACAGTGATATACCTTTTGAGCACGCAGCGCGGGACGCATGTGCACATGGAATTTGTCATATCTAAAACTCTCGGCATGAACATGTCTTACCTATAAGGTCGACAGTACACATTTCTACACCTGTGCCAACCTCGAAACGAGTTCATCCAAATTTTGTATATCCAAGGTTGCACTGGCATCAAAAGATTGTCTCAATTCCCCCTCCATTTTTGATGCTAGGGCAGTATGATAGTTGGTAGATGCGTTTCTCTGCTCGAAGAACCATTGTTGCATCAATGTCGTAATGTGTTGGATGAACGAGGTGATAGGGAAACTTCGTTGCCGCTTGAGGACTGAATTCAATGACTCTGCAATGTCATTAGTCATGATGTTATACCGATTACCAACAAAATTTGCCGGTGACCAAGTAGATGGACCATCACGTTCCAAATAAGATGGGACTGCTGGCCGAATGGTCCTAATCTGTCTCATCATTTGTTGGAATTCTAATACGCGATATGCGAGTGCTGCACTTTTGAAAAGGAATATGACATTTGGACTACTATACCTAGCAATGAGATTTTTCTCGATATGCCATATGCAAGCACCGTGGTGCGAAAGTGGGAAAAGCATCGTAATTGGTCGTTTAATGCTATTCTTCTTGTCGGATACAAACACTGGCTGATTTGAATCATTAACAATATCTTTCAACTTCATGAAGAACCAGTACCATGATACATTTGTTTCCTCATCGACAACATCCCAAGCAATAGGATATATTTGCATGTTGGCATCTTGCGCTGCAGCTAGTAGTAGTGTTCCCTTATTCCAACCCTTCAAATGTCTCCCGTCAACGCAAATTACTGACCTTATGTGCTCTCGAAAACCACGTATGCTCGGTCCGAATGCTAAGAAAAAGTAGAACCTATTATTGGGGTCGAGCTCAATATGTGCGATGGTTCCTGGGTTTCCCTCAGTTAACATGTGACAGTATGAAGGCAATTTTTTATAACTCTCTTCAGGTGAACTGTGAAGAATTTGACGTCCCCTCTCTTTACCTCGCCACGCTTTACTGTATCTAATTCATACACCGAACTCACATTGTATATCCCGGACAATGCCCGCAGGAACGTATGGTTGGTTTCTATCAGCCAATCGTCTGGTAATGCGATGCCTAATCAATACACTCATTGCATGAATTCGCGCATTCCATCGAACGTCCAAAGAACATGTGTGCTCAGGTATGTACCTTTGAATTTTAAAGAAGTCTGTACTTTTTATCTTGGATGCTTGCAGTAGCCAATGGGACGTGGTGTCGACGCAGCACATAGTAAGAAATCTGGAATTAGACTTTTTAACCTTGAAATGAAACTTCTCTATCAAAGCATTTAGTCAAAGTCTTGTGTGCAACTATTTCTTGGTAAAGAAAATCTGATTCTCGTGAATTTTCTGTTGATTGATCGACTAAATTGTATTTTCAATATACAAATTCTCTTCACCTAAACCTACACCCGTGTTATCAATCATTTCTAGCTCTTGTAGTTCGCACACACTGACTGTATCGCGTGCATCTTCTGTTGGAAAGGATGTACCATCCCTAACATGCAGTTCTTGCTCTCCAGCATCATATTCGTCTGCAGTTATACACAAAGCTACTTGTGTGTGAATAGAAATGTATCATTGCAAAGCCTTATCATCGGCTACATTAGCAGGGGGTATGTTCATGTTTGGAACTTTAAATTTTAGTTAAATCCGAAACTACAGTCTTTCAATATTAAGTTTCTCAAATAATTTATGTACAAGCTCTTCATTTTCAATATCACATCGGACAACAATTGATGTTGTTCGTTTGCCTAACCACTTCCACTCGTCGTCAATGTTGGCGAATGTACCACTGTAGGA